GAGGGCGACCCCAACAGCGGAGGGGGCGCCGGCGAGGGCCCGCGCCTGGTGGCCGGCGTACGGTGCTGGGGCGAACTGGACGTCGCTCGTGCTGGGTGTGGGCGGCGGTGTGGCCAGAGCGCAGCTGCACGGCAGCGCGTGCAACTTTTGGACGCAGCTAGGGGGGGAGAGCACTTGGAGCACTTGGAGTGCAGTCATCAACCGCACATCCAGGAGAGATCAGGCTAGTGCCATTTCACTCTGACACGCTAATCTTGAAAACGTCTCCAACGGAGCTCCGTGTTGCATCCAGCGCCCTCCCCCGCGCTCCCTGCGGCCATGGCCGATGATCCTAGTATGAGAGGTCATCTGGCTACCGCGAGAGCGACCCAACTCGTCGACATCGTCCGATGATGGTGCCGCAAAGTCAGCCTTCGGAGGCTATCGTGGGGTCGAGCCGGCAGTAGCCGTGACATGTGGTTCCACCACCCCTCGTAGGCTTTGCCTCTGATCGCCACCGTTCCCAGGCTGCCTAACGGGATGGAAAGGAAGGCTCGGCGAGCGTATAGAAGCGTGCTCGACGTGGCAGCCTGCACGGCAGCGCTGGCGGGCGCGATGAGCGTCGTGCCACCTGACCCGAGACGGGTCGCAGGCGTCGTACTGAGCGCGTCGAGACCGTGTCCTGATGTGATCTGCACGGGTAAATCACGTCGGCGTCAAAGGAGCGACGTGCGACCTGTCAGAGCTTGATCTCCGATCTCAGCGGCGTCGAGTCGTCTCCGGCGCGCGACAAAGGTACATTCACCGGGGTCGCAGCTGCTTCTGGAAGGCACCGAGATGTACCTTTTTCGCGCAATGGTCAAAATCAAGGTTTTGTACGCGAGCTGTGCCACAGTGAAATGGCACTAGCCTGTATATTGAGTATGAGTGTTGTTTTTAGCTTTTATGAACCGCACAGCTGACTCAACGCTGGCACACACGGTACTCCACACGTCCATCTACCTCCCACCTTACTAAGCCGCTAAAGAGCCGGCGGCCGACGGCGGCGGTGGCGGCACGCCGACGCGCGCCGAGACAGCCGCCGCTGCTCTCTCGGCGGCAGTGCGCTTGCTCGGCGGTGCTAAGTCCTCCTCCAAGTCGCGGGCGGCCTTGAGGTTCGCAGTCTGCCGGCCGAGCTCCGAGTTGGTCTGCGCCTCGAGCTCCGCCGACGCGTCTGCCTCGCCCTCCGACACCGCCGCCTCGGCGCCGGCCGCCTCTGGCGGGCCGGCCGTCGGCGGGTCCGCGAGCTTGCCCCACGCCGAGCCAAGCAGCTTGCTGAGCTCAACGGGCTTCGGGTTCGTCTCGATGATGCGCGCGAGCACCTCCGCCTTTGCCTCAAGCTCCTCCGAATTTGCTGCCTCCCGACGGGCCCGGCGTGCTCGGCAGCTCTTGCGGTGCTCTTGGTGCTGCTGCAGCGAGCTCGCGGTTTTGAAGCCTTTGCCGCACGGGCAGACGTGCGTCTTCTTCGCCTTCTTCTTGATCTTCTTCTGCTGCTGCTTCGCCGCCTTCTGCTGCTGCTTCGCCGCCTTCTTCTGCTGCTTCGTCTCCTGATGCAGCGCATCTAGATCCTTCCGGAGTCCGTCGGGCAGCATCCAGCGGTCACGGTCGTACGCGTCGCGGGGCACGCACGTCACTTCTCGCGCTGCCAGCCGCTCGACCGCGTCGTGCACGGCCTTCGCCGCCTTCTTCTGCTGCTTCGTCTCCTGATGCTTCCTGAGTTCGTCGGGCTGGCCCCCAGCGGTCACGGTCGTACGTGTCGCCGGATACGCACGTCACTTCGCCTCGCGCTGCCAGCCGCTCGAGCGCGTCTGTGAGCTCGTAATGTGCGTGCGAGGGCCGTGTGTAGGGTGTTACGAGCCGGTGTGAGCTTGAAGACCCGAGACAAGTGCGGTTTGGGACACCTCAGGCCTGATACTGATGGAGCTGGGCCAGGAGAGCGACAGAGAA